ATTTATAAGCAACCGTCTGCTGTTATTTGTGATTGTATCTGCTGGTTCTTGATTCTTAGTTGGATTTGGCTCTTTTCTTGACATTTTTTAAACTCTGTTGATTTTCTTTAATTACTAACTCATTAGAAATTTTTTTTTTTAAATCACTTTAGCTTCATAAGTTCATATTCTTACTCTGTTATTCTTCCTCAACCAATACATGTTTTAAATCACCTATCCTAATAGAAATATCATTTTGTTCTTGGCTTAGGCATAAAAATTAAAAATATCAACTTGATCACACCTGCTTCCTGATGGAGATAAAGGATACCATATTTATATCTCAATCATATAATTCTTAAGATCGCAGTTTTCAGCATTTTTTTTGGTTGGTTGGTTATTTGTGCAAATCTTATGTTTTGCTGAAAATGCGATTTAGAATCTCAAGTGGATAAATTATTGATTGTCTCTCTTCAGTTATAATATTCCATAACTGAAGAAAGCAAATACTCTGTTGCGCTCCGGAACCAAAATCAGCGTGCAACAACGACGAAATGATAATAGATAGATGAAAAAAATTCAAATGAGGGCCGCTCTTTCGGAAAAAAAAATGAAAACAAGCAAGATAAAATGATAATCTACTTTCCGAGAGGTAGATCGTCTTTCCCTCAACTCTTGACGTCGCTTCGAACATAAGAAGAAGAAAAAGAACACATCAGCCAACAAAACATGTATAAAAAAGAACAAATCCTAGGTTACTCTTCTTAATAGAAATCCTCTCGCGACATTTCAAACTTTCCCTCCAAACTTTAATTTATTATCCTGGAGTATATGATTAAGGCTCTCGTACGCCTTGCTTTCTAAAGGTGCAGCAATTTGTTGCTCCGCTCCTTATCGCGGAAAAGACTGTCCTACCGGCTGTTGTGGCGGACCGGTTGGGTGCCTCTTGATCGGTCCAGGAGAGACCGGTTCACTTACGGGCATTAACATACTCTTTTCAATTGAGCCTGTTTTTAAGCTTCCTCATAATCAGTGCCTACTCGTTTTAAATACAAGAAACAAAAATTTTTGGGTGGTGAGTTGCATTCTTGCTTGTAAAGGCTACTGGGTGTAGCTCTTGTCATCAACTTTACCGAATTCTGATATAGAAGAATATGCCATCCAAGAATTGCTGAAGTTATCTGCTTTGCGTCTGGTCCATGCTTAAATTCATATGCTTGAACATATAGTTAATGAAGCACGCATCTTGCTTGTAAAAGCTACTGGATTTAGCTCTTGTATGAACTTTACCCAATTCTGATATAGAAGAATATGCTATTGAAGAATTGCTGGAGTTATCTGCCTTGTGTCTGGTCCATACTTTAGTTCATCTTCAACATATAGTTAATGAAGCATGCAGTATAACCTTATTGTGCAACTTTAAATTTTTTCCTTCATATTCCGTAACTGGTGTACCGCCAACGTTTATTGCTGTTTTATTTTAGTAATGTTGTTTTACTGATGCTTCTCTTATGTTCTGTCAATAAAATGGGTAGTTTCCTGCGTGATATCTGGCTCTTTGTTACTCACTGCTCATTTTTTCCTGATTATTTTGCAGGGCTTTCTCTGAAATCTCAGGAGTTGATGGCATTGTTTTTGGTGCTCAAAATTTATTATAGTTACACGAACTTTGATGTACATACAATACTCATTGCGGCCACATTGATAACAACTTTGTGGGTTGTCTATATGATGCGTGTTTTCTTGAAATCAAGTTACATGGTGCATGAGGACAACTTTCCAACGCATTATCTGGTAGATCTTACATTTTACCTTATGTTATGTTCTCAAAATTTTTGTGATTAATTTTATGTGTTTTTAGTACACAATACTTTGCACCTGTTAGTGCCGGCAAAAGAATGCATACATGCTTTTTATGTTTTTTTACCACTTTTGATATGACATTTGTACATTCTCTCTCTTTTTTTTTTAATTTAGGCAAGTAGCTATAAGATTCTTGAATTTGAGGAGTCCTCTGTAGAATCATATAATTTATCACCATAGACTAGGCAAATGAAAATTTTTTACCGGTCTGCTGCTATTCATATATCCTTGAGTTTAGTTAATGAAGAAAATGAATAAATAAACTTTCGTTGGTTTGTCAAATTTATTGATTTGCAGTTTGGAGATGTGTGTTTTAACTTTTTCTTTCCCCCTCTTTATTTTTCATATTTCATTATCTTGGAAATGAACTTTTTTTTATAAATTTTTTTGCCTTTCATGTTTCTGTTCGTTTCTATCATCCTAGCATTTGTCTGCGTTTGCCTGAAAATTTGAAGTTTTGGGCAACAGGGCTACATTCATTTTGAGTTTCACTTCTCTCTGCAAGTTTGGTGAATTTGTTTTATGATGCTTTACTTCATGCTGGATTACTTTTGCAGACGCCACTCCTGCAAATCTCATATTTGATAGAAGAGGTTTCTTTTAATTTAATTGTATGGCTTTTTGTTATTCTGATTTATTTTCCATGTACAAACTGACAGAGGTCTTATCATCTATTTTAATTTTTTATTTTTTCATATCTTGTGAACGCCAAGTCCTTGTAGCGAAGGAATTTTAGTTTTATCATATATAGTTTTCAAAAGAACAATTTGATTCTTCAGGTGATTGCATGTGCTGTTATGACACTCGTTGTTCATCCAAAGTCATCTGATGCATTGATCAACCGTCTCATCTTGGCCTTTGGATGCTATTTGGAAACAGTTGCAATTATGCCGCAGCTTCGCTTGATGCAGAACACCAAGGTCCATTATATTCTTTTGACTTATGTTATTGGTATCCTGATTTTACTTAGGAAATTCTGTTGCACTGATTTTCTTTTGCAGATTGTCGAGTCATTGACAGCTCACTATGTTTTTGCTCTGGGAGTTACTCGTTTTTTAAGCTGTGCTCGCTGGATACTTCAGGTGAAATGCTGAATTAAAATATTATTTTTGACTAGTATGAGTTTAATTGTTTACTGGCTACTATATGCCAAATTTATGGTTTTAGCTGGTGCATGGTTGTCTATATATTTGTTGACCTGCCATACTATACAATTTCCTTCTCACGTTATACTCTAGAAATATGTTCAACAGTGCTCATCAGTAATATTTAGTATCCACTTAAAGATGAATCTCTTTCTTCATCTAAACAAATTTTGATTTAGGTATGACAAGAATGTGTTGCTTACAAGCAGAGTTGACAATTTCATTGGTTACTTCTTGTACATGAGAAAAAGTGAGCTTCTTGGGCAATCATGAAACCAACGTCCCTGATCAAATAAAGGCGGGCGACCTAATGTCATATTTAGGCGACCCGGTCCTCGCAAGCAGGCACCAAAGGATGATAACTAAGCATTAAGGAGCCAAGGAAGCGTGGTAGGTCACTAACACTTGATGGCTACTGATTTAGGGCTGAGCGACTATAACCAAGCATGGACCGATGATTGACGTAGGCCACACTCACCAGCCCGTCGATAGATTGCAAGAATTGGTCGACCAGTTGGGCGGCGTCTGATACCACATGGTTAGGACCAAGGCTCATGGCCGTGCAACTCCAAGCTGGGGGTAGGTGGCTCAAAAGTCCAAAATCACAGTCGAGACGATGGTAGAAAAGGACCCAACACTTCATGAAGGCACTATTTCTCAAATATTGCTCTGTTACAAGCGAGCGCTTGAGTTGAAATTGTATATGGTCCCACCCAGGATGTCTTGTCGTGATTTTTTATTTTAAATAATATGACGAGTCTTATTAAGGGGGTCAACTCCTATAAATAGGAAACTTTGTATAGCTAAAAGGGGAAGATTCTCTTATTTTTTTCCTTCATTAAGAAGTCTCTATCAACTCATTGAGATTCCCTTTGTGCCTTTTTCACCATGGGGACCCTTATTTTCCTCTCTTTTGTGTGTGTTGTATTATAGGGGTGCGATTTAAAGACAAATATGAGTTTAACATCCTGAAAAATGCGGTGAGTATAAAAAACAAGAAGATGAACAATACAAGAGGAAGAATGTTATTGTGAGAACGCTGACAACATGGAGTGTACCAGAGATTTTGTGACCCAAGAGATCTAAGAACTTAAGGATCAAATGAGGGAGATGATCAGAGAAACACTTCAACAAGGAGCAGATTCGATACCCAACCAACAGTTACCCCAAATCGAAGATCTGTCCCAAATGCAGAAAGTGCACCCTCCCCGACACTAAGCGCGAGTGATGGGACGTACCATCCATATAGTGTCAGATCTGCACCTTAGGACCTAGGTAGACAGAGGCGCAAGAACGCCCAATGGACAACCCATGATAATGTTTTCTCTTGATGAATCTATGAAGCTAAAGCGCTTAAATGATTCAAGATCCCAACTCTAGAATCATACCGAGGGAAGACTGGCCTGGCTGATCATGTCGCCTCTTTTTGAGTTGATAGCCTGCTTACTAAGGGTGAACTACACAGTGAAGTATCGACTCTTCTTTGAACAATCACTTCATTCATGGAGTTCAAAAGGAGATATTTAGCCTTAAAAAAAATTCTCAAGCACTTTTACAGTTGTGATAGAAGCAAGAAGAATTATTGCGCCCGTTCATAACCCGATTCCAGAGGGAAATGTTAGAAGTATGAGATTTTGAGCCCAAGGTTGCACACATGGCCGTCGCCAAGGGCTGAGAGAAGGTCTTTTTTGGTACGCCTTGGCTAAAACGATCGAAGGCATTGACGGAGCTACTGGAACTTGCTAACGACCACATCTCAATAGAGAAGTATAACTTATAGTTTCTTGGAGATCTAAATGATCACAATCATATCCATATCCAACAAAAAGAAGTTCTCACGGCGGGGGGCAAAAAACCACCCGCCACGACCATCACCACATCCTCGGTATGAAGATGAACACTCCCAATCTTACCAGGAGGCACACACTACCGAAAGGATGGCCCAACAAAATCGAGGGAAAGCACAATACTGAAGGAGGTGGGAGGATCACACTCCATAAATACCACTACAACTGACTTACCACATCCCTCAACATACTCTGCTAAGAGTCTCAATGGTGAAAGTTGTGGAGGCTATCCAGAACAAACACTACTATCGAAAACCGGCTCCCATGAAGGCTGGAGGATATATCCGTGATCCAGAGAGATGTTGTACTCATCATTGAAATCACGGATACGACATAGTTATGTTGACACCCTTGGGCCCTAATTTAGGAGTTGATTGAAGGGGCTCAACCAGAGTAGTTGACCAACCTCCGAGGAAGGCTCCGAAGACAGAGGGGCATGGTGGGTCTGCCTAGGCTCATGTTATGCTCAATACAGGAGTCGTCCCTGCCATTCTAGGAGATGGTGTTGAGGCCTCCCAAGAAAGATTCAAAAAATTTTGCTCCGGCGAGCCTTATGTGGATGCCTAATTCCTGCGGCAAGTCGCTCAATATCTGCCCATCACATTTACCGATGAAGACCTGCCTCCGAAAGACAAACCCTACAACGATGTGATAATCGTTATGGCTCTAGATAGAAATTTCCAAATGGGTAGCATTCTTTTCGACACCAACATCTTAGGAAACTTCTTGTTCAAATCTTTATTCAATAAAATGTGTCTTGAAGCAGTATGTCTGTCAGCTACATCTTAACCCTTATATGGCTTCTCTGAGGAGAAGAAAAAAACCAGAAGCCTTGTGATTCCTTACACTGTCAACCTATTATTTGGGGAGAGGACGATAGATAATTCAATGCAATGGTTGACTGCATCGTATTTGACTAGCCTGTGACATACAATGCTATTATTGGTCGGCCTCTACTGAACACCTTCAAAGCAGTCCTCTCGATGTACCACGTGTCGGTAAAATTTTCTGGCAATGTAAAAATAATCATGGTACGAGGAGACTTGCAACAGTTGTACACTTGCTACTTATAAGTCATTAAAAATGTAATCCGAGAAACCCTGGAGTTGGATACGCAACAAGGGAGTGGCTTAGAAACCAGTGAGACCATAGAAGAAATCTCTGCCTACCCCGATGCTAAAAATAAGTCATTTCAACAAAGTGCGGCGTTTGATATAGGGTGTAGAGAAAACCTCCCCCGGACCCTCTGGGAGTACCGGGACGTTTTTGCTTGGTCAGCAAAAGAAATGCCCGGATTTTACATAGTCATGGCTTGCCACTGTCTCAACGTCAATCCTTTAGCTACTAATAAGATAGAAAATGAGATCCGAGACTTTCTATCTTGCTGAGTCAATCAAGAAAGAAGTTCAAAAGTTGTATTCAAAAGCTGCTGGAAGTTGGATACATCGAAGAGGTGTAGTACCCATATTGGGTAGCGAATGTGGTGATTGTTCACATGGCAATAAAAAAATGACGAATGTGCGTCGACTTTACCAGCCTGAACGCGGCTTGCCCAAAAGACAATTACCTCCTCCCACATATTGACGATCTCTTGGATTCAAAAATCTGACACTCAGTCATATGAGATTCCTTGACGCTTTTTTTTTGCTATCATCTGATAAAAATGTATCCAGACGATGCAAAAAAAAAAAAAAAAGAACGCGTCCGTAACAAGAGATTATTTTGTTATTATGTAATGCCCTTCGTGTTTAAAAACGTTAGTGCGACTTACCAGCTGATGATGGATGTACTTTTTTTGGAGAAAAAAGGAAAAAAATGTTAAAGTTTATGTTGATGATGTTTTAGTGAAAAATAAATCGATTAACATATAAATGACTTCAAAAAAACCTTTGAAACACTCGCAAAATTTAGTATGAAGTTTAACCCTCTCAAATGTACATTTGGGGCGGAGATTGAAAAATTACTTGGCTACTTACTAACTCTAGAAGGGTTCAAAGCCAATCTAGAGAGGATTCTAGTACTCATAGAAATGCCATCACCCAACAACGTCAAGTAGCTGTAGAGGCTGGTAGGTTGCATTGTAGGATTGAGTCGGTTCATCACTAAATAAGACGACAAATGCACTGTTTCTTCAAAGTCCTATGGATTACCAAAGGCTTTGTATGGACAAAAGACCATGAATAAGCCTTCAGATGGTTGAGAATATTTAACTTCACCATCCTTATTCTAAAGCCCAAAACCATATGACGAGCTCACATTATATCTCGGTGTAAGACCAGAGGTGATTAACTCGGTCCTAGTGCGAGAAGAGCTGGAGAAGTAATTCACGGTCTATTATGTTAGCCACATTCTGAGAGGGGCATAACTAAGGTATCCAATTATGGAAAAGTTAACGTTTTCTTTGATTGTTTAGTACAAAAACTGCGACCATATTTTCAGATGCATAAGGTGTGGGTGATCACTGACTATCCACTCAAATCAGTGCTAACAAGATCAGGGCATTTCTGTTGACTCGTTAAGTGGGTGGTAAAACTCAACAAATTTGATTTATCTTATATCCTTCGAACAACTAATGGCGCAAGCGTTGGCAAATTTTCTGGCAATATCCAGGACCAGGTGACAATGAAAATGAAATGCCCTCGTTAGAACCATCATGAACTCTGTAACACGACGAGGCATCAAACCAGTAAGGTGTGGGCCTAGGACTCGCACTAACGAGCCTGCCAGGGCAACATATCTACCATTTTGTCGAAGTAGAAAATTGAGGTGACGAACAACCATGTCGACTATGCGTACTGCGTCTCACATACGGGATTGGAGTGCGACATCTCACCATAAGATCTTAGTAGTCAATCAATTGAACGGGCAATTCAAAATGAGAGAGTAAACATTAATAAGATATATAATTAAAACTAAGGCAAAGATAGGGAAATTTGAATACTTCAGGATCAAACACGTTACTCGAGAAGGCAACAAAGTCAGACTTATTATCTAAGTGTGGTATGAAGTCGGGAATGAGCTTTCAATAGACATGTTGGAAAAGCACAACAGTTCGATCTCAGATAGAAAGAGATTAAGAGGAGAATGGCGTGGTATTACAATTTACATGTCAAAGAAGTAGACCTGGTCCTGAAGAAGGTCGATTCAGTGGCTCGTTGCTAAACCTTGGGAAAGCTCGACCAGACATAGGCCGGATCGTTCATCGTCAGCATGCCTGTACCCATGGAGCATACAAACTGTGAACTTGTGTCGACAAGGAAGTGCCATGCGCTTGGAACAGAGATGAAGTAAACATTTTTTATCCTTGAAATTTATGTACATTTGATTTTTCTGAGACATTGTAATTCATGGCACAATTGAACGGTAATTTTTTCCTTCCTAGAAACCAAAAGGCTTTTATAATTACATTATGAAAAAAAGTAGTCGCATACCAATGATGTGTTTTCTTACTTTTATCACAAAATAAACGCTTCATTCAGGTGCCAAGGGAGGAACTCACCGCATTGCTAACCAGATCCCAAAGAAGCGTCAAAAGCCCCCAAGAGGTGGAAGATAGCTTTCACCTGAAGGTATGGATCGTCCCTATTACAAACCTAGCCAGTGCAAACTAACTCAAGAAACTAGAGAAGGGGAGTCAGTTTCTTGAAGGAAATAAGCTTCCTTCACAGGTGAAGTGCAAAAGTTACATGAGCTCCGAAGGTGTCTGGGCAACCAACCATCCACTTCATATTCATCTGTCTCACAAGGCTTGAGCTGCGTAAAACCCTTCTACTCCTATTTGGAACATAGGTCAAGCCCCGACGCTTAAATTTTCTCCTCGCTCGCAAAAAGATCCACAGTGAGAAACACATGAATCATCCCAGCGGCGAGTTTAGATGCTTACCTCCGCGAATAAATCAATCAGATTGACTTAATAAGTCTAGTGTTAGGCATGGTCTGTCCATGACGCATTTGAAATAGTAAAGGAGTATGGGTAGTAGAAGATCCTCTTAAGAATTCCGGGGTAAGGCACGACCGGTTCAAGGGGACGATTTGATCGTAAAGGAGTACGGGCGGTATAAGGCTCGAGTCAAACACAAAATGAATTAAACACAACCATTCAACCACAACATTCCAAGCAATTCAAATTGAATTCAATTCACGCCGCACAATCTAGCACAAGGATTTTTTTAGTCGGAAAAAAAAAAAGAAAAACATATTGATAACAAAAACCAGGCATACACATGACGCATTTGAAATAGTCAAAAGATCTTTCCATTTCATATTCTAACAAAAAATAGTTTACATATAAGACCCCCCATCATACATTCAATGAAGCTCAGAGACTTCTTTCCTCCTCACCCTCAGTTTCAAACTCGGTGATTCTACTCAAATTGAGACATGGAGGACCATACCGAGAAAATTACTTGACACTTCACCAGGTGGTCCATAAAATACTGAATCACTCCACGTAACTTGGTATGGAGAGTGGCAATATATACAACGTTCGACGATTGCTTTTGGATGAACTCTTCAGGCATTCTTATGATAGTCATTCAATTAACCAACCATTTGTTATCCTCCACCAGGCCCTCGCAATAACACTTCCAAGTGAGAAGCTCCATCTCCAACCTCTCCAACAAATCCTTTTCTTTCAATGCAACCTCCCGCGCTGAAGCACCTTCTGTTATCTCACCCTCTAGAGTCACAACACACCGCTTTGACCTCTCTTTCTTCACCCTCTCTTTTCTTAGGCCCCTCAAAAGGCTACAAATGATTGTAATCAAAGTATGGGAAGCCTGTCAACTAACTGTTTGAAGGTAACCCACCTCCATCCCCTCAAACAAGGCATCCATCAAAGGGGAGCAAAGGGCTTTTTCCTCCACATTGAAGGCATATGTGGTAGCACGCGTAACTGAAGAGTTTCAGTCCTTGGCAAAGTCCATTGGAGCATAGCGACCTTCTATACTCTGCCACACATTCTACCTTTTTTGAGTGGAGCCCATTGAATGGGAGGCCTCCTACAACCAACCAATTGACTTCACTTTAAGATGGACATCGCTCCCACTAATGCTACCTTTCGCTTGCGCTAAGTCTCTGGGTGAGCCAACTCTTATGCTATCGGGCTGCTCAACGCAAAGTTTTCGCCCAGGGATCACATCTTCACAACATTATCTTCGCTTAGATGGGCGCTACCTTATTGGGGATGGCCTAGAGTAAGAGTGGTGAGAGAGGTGCAGACCGAGCTGCTCTACGTCCACACAACGATCTCGCGTGAAGTATCCCCGCACAGGTGGCTTGACTAGGCTTCATCGGCCACCCTGTGATCCTTGGACCCATCATCACCAATCCCCTCCTCTGATTCAGCTTCCGCGCAAGAATGTTATTCGCCGATCTTTCACAAACCCTTTCCTCTAAATCAAGATTAATTCATCTGTCCCATCTCTTTTAATAACTATGCTAGAAGGAGAAATAGAATACAAGTAGCTACCTATACCTAACAGGGCCAAGCTGCACAGTTCTTCTTGGTCTTCTCAAGCCAAGGCCACGTTCGTTTCCTCTTGAAGGGCATCCACAATTGCCCACTCCCCCTCGGTCATGAATTCGAAGGCATTCAGAGCTTACAATTCCTCCTCAGTCATGAATCCGAAGGTGTTTAGAGCTAACAATTTCCCGACGACGATGTTTTGCAGTCGGCCTTTGGCTTATAAGCTGGGCTCGTCTTGATCAATCAGTCACCTTCTATAGAGTCGAAGCAAAACTTACACTTCTAATCCTTCACTTTATTCTCCAAACCATGAAAACATACCTCTTTCTATCGCAACACAAACTGCACAAACTCGTCGGTGTCGACGTGCAAGGAAAATAGAATGTTGAACAACTTGATCAACCAGAGGATCTTCACTCTCCACATATAAAAGATCATTGTCATGATGATGGTGACTGAATGGGCATCAATTGAGTTGTAACTATTCCAAAGAAATTAAAAATCGATACCATCTCTACGCATAATTGCAACTTGAAGCCAAACCGGAATTGATCGTTGTAGAAAGCCAACATTCTTGCATAAAAGGAGTTGGGCCACTCGTCTTTCTTAGCGACCCACCCATAGATGAATGAATGGAGTGTACACATTGGATAAGTAATACTACTCTGCTAGCACAACATCCATCTTGAACGAGCAAGGAAGATTTTTCTTCACAAACTCCATGGGGTTGTACCGGGCAGGGGGGCATGACTGAAGGAAACATGATCAGTTTGGTGAGCGGAAGAAGCTTGAACGGAGGAAGCCACGATTGACTAAAAGGAATTGAGAGAAATATCAGAAAGAAATGGTAAAGGAGTAAAACCCTCACAGTTAAAACATCAGTTTTTATAGGGGTTAAAGAAGTGGTAACTGCCCAAAAAATTTACAAGGGTAAAAAGGGAAATGTATGTACATACATGTAACTTATATTTGAGGGGTATAATCGGTGTCACGTCATAAATCAAAATTACAAAAGCTTAAGTGTCAGATTTATTTATTAAAAAAACCTATTTTAACGAAAGGTTAGTACATTAACTGGGTGAAAGAAAAGAATTATACAAGGATCCGACATGACCTCAGCTGCGAGATAACAAAGTTCGAGGAGCCTCCTCAATACAAACTCTCCCCAATACCTAAATTGTCCTAGGCCACCCAAGTTGGCTGGGGCCTGAAAAACCAAGCACTACTCTTGCAAGCTTGTGAGCTCCCACTGTAAGAAGGCCTTGTCTCCACAACTCAGTTTCACACCCCAATCCTGCCAATCTTGTCATAAAATCAGCTAATCATGTAAAAGCCGCTACATACCCACTAGTAGGGGGTTGTCGCACGAACAACCTGTCACCTCACGGTCTGTCCCGAGTTGATCATTTTGCCCATCTCCCATTTGGGCGCAACCCCCGATGACAGTGCAATCACCCTAGCTCCGCACTCAGAGTATCTGACATCTCCACTTACTAGTTCTTCATCACTCAGGAGCATACCTTAAAACTCATTCAAATTCAAGGATGGCAGGTCGTATGGGCTATAACATGTGAGAATAAAATGAGTGACCTTCAACAAATAATAAAAAATCACCAAAAAACAATATTGTCCTTACCCATTGCTCGCAAGTGATCAAGCACATGAAAAAAGAGCGAACGAGTCATCGCCTTGAGCTGCTTGAGCAACCAGTTGTTGTGCTCATCAAAAGTCAGCTCGCCCAATGGACCTTCTATCCCAAGAACAAGAGCAACATGATCCAATTGAGGGATTGCGCATCCCCTTTTGCTACGACGATCAACATCTTTGAAACACTGGGGCGTCTCTTAGAATTGCATGGAGAGACCTCGAACGGTCAACAGATGGGTAAGCATTTTCAGGCACACAAGTGATGCCCTCATAGACCGCATGACAGGATCCCTACTGATCCGTCAACAGGGCATCGCATTTGCGTTTTGACTTACTACCTCACACATGCTTACCAAACAGGCCATAGAGGACTTTGGTTTGGACATTTGCTTGGGCCGCAATAGGCTTCTCCACGTGCCAAAATTTCTGACAATAAGAGTAGAATTAGGCGAAAGAACTAAGTCCTTAATGAAATTCAGGGGAAGTCTTATTGAAATATTTATAGGAGTGTGAGGCTCAAAACTCATGTGAGTATTTAAAGCTTTAAACATTTATTATTGATCTAGAAATAACTATTAATCTATTAATTCTCTTACATTTATTGCAGCATAAATTTCTAAGATTCGAGAGAATCAAAAAATTAAATATCTACATGAGAAAAAGTGAGCTTCTCAGACAATCATAAAACAATGACCCTGCTTAAATAAAGGTGGGCGATCAGATGATGTATTTAGGTGGCTTAGGAGTTGTCGTAAACAAGCACTAAATGACGATAGCCATGAGTTAAGGAGCCAAGGAAGCGCGGTGGGTTGTTGGCACCTAAGGGTGGCTGATCTTGTGTCGAGCGAACCAACAGAGCCGATTGACTACGACCAAAGTATGCATGATTGACATAGGCTACACTTTCCCGACCAACTAATAGATTGCAAGAATTTGTCGGTCTGGGGGCGGACATCTGATACCACATGGTCAAGACCAAGGCTCATGACCAGACATTTCAAAGCTTGGTTCTGATGGCTCAAGCATCCAAAATCATACTCCAAATGATGACAGGAGACCCAATGCTTCATGAAGACTCTGTTTCTCAAGTATTGTCGTTACAAGCGAGCGTTTGATTGAAATTGCATATGTTCCCACTCAGGACCTCTTGGCGGGATTTTTTATTTTAAATAATAAGTGTCTTGTCAGTGGGGGGTTTGACTCTATAAATAGGAAGCATTGTATAGCAAAGATGGGAAGATTCTTGTATTTTCTTTCCTCCATTAAGAAATATTTGTCAACTCACTGGGATTCATTTGCCTTTTTCTAAAAGGAGATCCTTATTTTCTCCTTTTTGTGTGCATTCTATCTCTGGGGTGTAATTCGAGGGAAAATCTAGATTTAACACTTCTCTATAGTAAATTCAAATGAGCCATCCATATATAATATAATGCATGCATGTTCATGAGCTGTTTT